TACACAGGTTCTATGTCTGGCAGTCCTGTAAACCCACCAGTTGAATCAACAAAAGTTTCAGAAATCCCAAGTGGTGTGAAAAGTTACACCCTTAAAGGACGGTATGAGCTGCTAAGGGGAGGATGGGTCAAATGCTGAAGTGCTTGAATATCCTGATCTGAAAAACCTTTGTAAATCGAGGCCTGATTGTTTAGATGGGTGAATCAAAATGCCATACCTTGCATTCAGTGTTCAGTAGAAAGAAAGTGGCCATTTCTAAGTGTGGAAAATAAGAAAACTTATTCTCAGTTCCTGCAAATGGAAAACTGGATGTTTTGCAGCATCTTCATTTTGTGTTAGAACCAGGTTGAAAGAAAAAAGGAAACTAAACCAAAGCAATTTGTTTCTTCTTAAGAGAGAATGTCAAAGTTATTTGTGTGCATCTGTGTTAAAAAAAATATTTCAACTTTTCTGTCTTATTTTCTCCTATTTTGACTAGAACTGGAACTGATTTAAACCAAATGCTGAAGTAGAAGAATATTGGGTCACTGTTTTTCATCTGCATGTAAGGTTTTATGTAGCATTACTTATGAATGGGGGGATGAACCATTTGTCCTGGACCATTTGTGGACCTTCCAGGAGTTCAGAGCACATGCACTTAAGAGCCTCTTCTTTAGCCAGAATGGCACAGCTCATGTAGCTGTCATGGTGTCTCCCAAAGTATAACACCACTTGGCTTTGCTGCCTGTGGACATTGCTTTAAATTTTGTCTTCTCTGGACTTTTGGCTAGTGAATCTTTCTGTAGGGTTTTGATTGGATATTCTTCATCCTAGGTCTCTTAAGAGAATTGGTTTGGGCTGAAAAATGTGAAGGCTGTATTTGTTTGTTCTGGTTTGGTTTTGGTTTTTTTGTCCTCAACTAACTGAATGAAGCTGTGACTTTATTATTACAACCTGGATGTTCATATGCAAATTGGAATAGTCCTGTACTCTCCAGCTTCTAGTTTATGCTCACTAGCTTAACTGAAGCCTAGAGTATAGCCTCTTCCTGCAAGTTCTTTTCATCCAGTGGTTGTTACTCATGCTAGTTATTCACTGGGTTGCCCTTAATTCAGCCCACCTGCCTCACTAGTACCTTCATTTTCTTCTTCTTGAAACATGTCATCTGATCACCGAGACTTTTTCTCTCTGCTGCTTTAATCATGGTGTTGCAACATCCTCAGTTGATGGCAAATTCCATCTTTATCCTTACCTTATTCACATCTTTGCTACTTACACACTGCTTGATTATCCGTTTATATAGTGCTGCAGATGTTATTTAATAGGCTTCTTGCTTCAGTCACATCGCTCCCAAATTTTACACTGCATGAGGCATTTTGCGTTTAAAATAAATTGTAGCTCCTTGTTTCTGTAGTCCCCTGGTGACATGCTGTGTTTTCACAGTTCCCTGTGCTCTTGTGTGTGTTACACTCTGGTTAGGGCAGGCGAGTGTTGTATGGCACCGTAAATGTACTGCTGTTGCAGTTAACAGTGAAAGTGGCAACCACTGGTTTTGGCTACGCTAGTTTTGGAAAAAGAAATCTGGAGGAGGGGTTTCTATATTTGTTTTGGACCGATGGGAAATGCAATGAATAGCAAGAAAATAACCTCTTTTTATTTTGCGTTTGCATGCAAGTACTTGCTGTCTCGAGACTGCGTAGCTCTGAATTCAGCTAGAAAAGCCAGCGGCTAGTGTGCTGGCATTCTTCCTGTTTCATCTTCTGCAAGAGGAAACCTAACTGTAGGCATCCAGCTTTCTATGTGTGGAATATTAAGACGTGATTGTAAAACTGCTGCACCAAGGGGTTCTGATTTGGTTTTGGGTTTGCTAAGTCTTGTGAAAAATGGACGGACGTAAACTTCTGAACACACTCATTTGGGTTCTGAAGTAAATAACTCATAAAATCACCACAGAAAAGCTGTTATGGTCAGGAAAATTGTTGCCAATCTGCAAGTTTGTCTTGGAGAGAAAGACTCTTTCGCAGGCTTCCCAGTTTTGACTGATAATGCTCCTGATTCTCTGTGCTTTCATGTCAGTACAGATTGACCTGATCTTTGTTAATGGCAAGAATATTCTTAGGGAGCATAGCATAAATTATGAAAGCTCTGTTTGAAGAGAAAACTTTAAATTAATCAAATAATTTCAAAAAAATTCTTTTTTTTCTTCTCTAGGTTATTTATCTTTCATGCATAAGCAAATACTGTAGGCTCTTAATCCATCTGGAAGAAAGGCTAAAATCAGTAGAAGTGCTGAATTAGGGTTTCAGGCAAAGCATGTCTGCTGACATGATATGGTACTTCACTTATCGTGGAGACAAAGCATAGTTTGCAGACTGCAGAACAAACAGCATTTGTTAAACCTTATGTTGGCCATAGATTAACAATTAGTGTTGCCAAAGCATGAATATCACAGTCTGAGTAAATACCTAAGGGTGTAGAGTGGACAGGAAGCAGTCAGTAGAGAGACGTAGATACCAAAGTCAAAGACAAGAATAAAGGACTGTGAAGCTAAGGAAGGAGATTCAGTAGGAATCCAGAATACAAGGAAGCAACTGAGAAGAAAATAGCAGATAGATAATGGCAGCTAGCTCAGCTAGCTTGGGTTGTAGCAAGGACTGGAGAGAAGAAAGATTGGACAGGCTACCGAAGATGGGTGTTGTTTTAAAACATGTTTAATTTCATATATTTTTACTATACTATGTGGTTAAATTGAAAGTTAGTAAGTATCTAGTGCCTTTTGAGTTGCCTCCAAGACTATTCTTTGTTTAAAATACCTTCCTGCCTTTTTTGTTGTTGTTGTTTGTTTGGTTGGTTGGTTTATTTTTTTTTTTTTTTTAGTTATGTTTTGTAGCACAGTAAGGGCTAGGGACTCAGAATTAATTTCCCTGTGTAACCTTCTAACTATGTGCTATGTCATGGCATTTCAGGTTTCTTTTTAACATATAAATTGCAGTCCACTTAGTAAATAAAATGGATTACTTATGGTAACTGTTACTTATGGTAAATGTGACTAGTCAGACAACCTAAATCCTTGCCAGAGCTATTCCAGAGGCTTTAAAAAATCCTATTAAAAGATTTTGTTTGCAGGTGGTACAGAGAGGATAAAAAAAACCCAACAAAACAAACAAAACGCAGTCTGCAGAGCATTCTATTGCTCCCTCCTTTGCCAAGGGCAGTTTACTTTTAAGACCACAGCTGTAGGTGAAATTTGTCTCTGCTGTTTGTAAATAAAAGTAAATTTCTGAAGAATCTGGAGTTCTTGGAGGGAATTTAGGAACAGGAAGCATGAAGCCTTATGTATTTTCTGCAATTATCATTATGCTAATTATAACAACATAAATGTCACAATCATGTTGTAAATGTTAAGTTTGAATCGTGTGTTAGTGCTAAGTGTAAGCTGCCAGGATCAGAAGACAGTTTTTTTGAATGTGGGTAGTAGGGTGCATAATATGACCTTTTAGCACCTTTCACTACTGATTGTTGAGTAAAATCTAAAGAAGCTGGACTGTTCAGAGCTCATAGTAACTTTGCATAGTTTGAATTAAAATGATATTTATCTTATCTGTTAGTGGAACTTCCTTAATAAAATATTGCAAAAGTAGCATGGAATTCCCTAATGCAAAGTCAGACGACTTAGAAAACTGTGTGTTTTTGAAGCATGATGCATGCAGAATTTAATTTGTATTTACACAGTTTGTAGCTTTCTAATAGTAGTATTTGAAAAGTGTTTGCTTTGTGCTTGTGCAATAACAAAAGCCAAAGTCATGAATATGAAAAAATGACCTTGCTTATATTATGTACATTACACACTATTGCTTTTTTTTGATTAAAAATCTGCAAAATACATAGTAGAGATAAAAGCTGTTGATATTTCATCCAACCATTTTGGTTTAATTGAGTACTGATGTTTGCTACCTTGTTAGCAAAATCCTGAAGATGCTTCAGAGTCTTGAGAGAAAAAAAAACCTGAATAGGTTGCCCCCTTTGCTCTGTCCCTAGAGAGAACTGTTTTGTATTCTCGCTGTATCAATCTCCTTTTCTTCCTCAAGGATTAAAAATGTGTGCATTTTTGGGGTCTCAGGAGTAATATCTGAAGACTTAGTATTTGGGAGCCAATTGAAAAAGCTCATCTATAATCAATGTTTTTGTTGTAATAAACAAATTCTGATATGCTTAGATTTGTACTACAGCTAATGCTTATTCTTTTCCTGTAACCTGTTTGCCTAGATGACTCTTTTTAACAGACTTTAATTATCTTAGCAATGTGTACACACTTGAGAACTTTTACCTCACGAGCAGCAAACTATTTGAATTGCTTACAACTGCCTCTTTATACTTTGCAGTATAAAGTACTGCAATACTCCATCTTTGAGTATTTCAACCTTTAAGTACGCAGCTTTCCTTCCTGGCACCATCGCAATACAGGCTAGGGATTTCTTCACTGAGATGTTAAGCTCAGCTGCTTTGTGGCAGGTAGAGAACTGTTCCTTAAAGAGCAATTTGTTACCTCCTTTCTACATGCACTGTAATTGCTAAACCTGCCAATAGTGTTTGAAAACTTAGGGGCTTTTGGAAAGTTTAACATTTTATCCTTCTTGGAAATCAGATTACTGAAAGGTAGCTGTGGAAGACTGAAATAGAGAGATATCGTCAATTTCATGCCATTAATTTCTGTTTTATATTAATAAAAAGTCAAGTGAAAATAACCTAGTTTGTGGATAAATATTTGTAAATTCCTGGATAAATTACCTGTTTTCTGGATAAATAATATTTGTTGATCTAGCTTCCTGTGGAAGCACTTCTTTTGAGGTCTTACATGAGCCTTACTCTTTAAATCTTTTGACCAAGCTGCTTCAGCTACGTCAGAGCTTAAGGATGGCTCCTATGGTATGTTAATGCCCCGTAGAATAATTTTCTGCCTTTTTCTATTGTGAGCAGACAATTAAAGTGTTGTTAACCTCATCTCTCTCTTCTCACACAAGAGCTCCAAGCGAGAGTGGAAGCCTCTGGAGGACCACAGCTGCACAGATGTACCATGGCTGCTCTTATTCATCCTCTTCTGCATAGGAATGGTGAGTAAAACTCAGATAATTCTGTAAATGTTATATAGTTAAAGAGTTTGCATTCAGAAGAAAGGAATTTTCAAACCCTTCAGTAACTTCATCACTGGGAAAAGTCAGGGTATATTTTCATGAGAACCACTGGCTGTAGAACAGAAATGGGTAGTATGTCCTTGGTAGGGATCCATAATTTATTGTTTGTGCCAATTCTTTCTTCAGCTTCTCTTCCCCTCCAGTTTCTTTGGTAAGTGATTTACATCATGAAGATGTATCACTTGAGTCATGTTTCTTAGGGGGATGGATGTCCCAGAAGTGATAGCTTTGAATCTGGTGAACAGTTCTATGAATGACAGTAAACTTTTTGTGAGAAACAAAGATCCTGAATATCAAAGAGTTGACTGCTTTTTGGGGGGTTGGTTTGTTTGGTTTGTTTGTTTTTTGTTGCCTTTTTTTTTCTTGGATGCTTAGTAGAAGCAGCTACTGTTAACAGCCATATTACTAGTGGTAAAATCTTTCTTTCAAAGTTATACCATCTCTGTCCTGTGTGATGAAGCCATCACCTTTCTCAGGTCAGCCTCACAACCCTCTTGACTTTATGTTAAAAAAACAGACCTCTAAGAGCTGCAGATTAGTGAAAACTAGCAATACACTTCTTTTCATCTTGTTTTGCTTCATACCATTCTTCTTAAACAGAGAATGTCTGTTTCTGTCTTGTTCTGCTATGTTACAAGCAGTAGTCCTTAGGGGTTTGGGACTTAGATGCTGTCAGCTTTCTTTTCTGCTGTCCCTTGGTCTCTGGTGTTTGGAATAATTCCACTGAAAAATTTATTCTACTTTCCCCAGGGTGTTTGTCCATGGCTGTGCTTCAAATGCAAAAATTATAACGATTATTTAAAATCATATGAATTACAGTGTCACTGTAATGTGGCTATCTTAAAATTGCAAAAAGTACAGTACTTCCTGAAACAAGTAGCTCTCTCTTTTGTGTTTGATTTTTTCTTGGCTCTATTGATGTTCCCTGATTATTCGTGCATACTTACCTGTTCCCCCAATAATAATTAGGTCTGCTATGCATGAGTGTCCCAAATTTTCCTGTCTAAGCAATATGATATACAGAGCAATTATCCTATTGTTAGGATACCTTGTTAGTTACTGTTCTAGGGGACTTCATTTGAAGGGTCAGGTGCCATGACAAGCCAAGAGGACATCACTGCACACTTGTAAATTAGCTTTGATAGAGGAAGGGTTGTATGATTTGCCTGTGTGTAAGGACAAAAATTCTTGAACCAGCCAAGAACCTGAGGACTATTGTATGTAAAATGCACGCTAGTGTGTCCTTTACAGAATAGTAGGGGATCTGAGAAATTAAAAGTGAATGCTGGAAATTAGCTTGAATTATTATGATGACTAGTGAGCCTTTTGATCACTTTGCTCTTGTTTTCAGTTTGAATATTAGGTCTATAAGTGCATTAGTGCATTGGCAAGGGAAACATAACAATTGGCTTGTTGTCTGGAATTGATAGCCTATCCATTAGAGAAGGTCACTCTACTGTATCTTCACACCTTTGAAACCACACATTTTCACTGTTCTGTACTGAGTTCATTACCTGTTGTCATCATCTCATCTGATCCTGCCACTGCCATCTGTTGCTTCACACATTTGTCTCAGCTGCTCAAATCTTAGCTTGTGAAAACAAGTTCACTGATGGTAGTGGAGTGAGCTGATGGTTCATTTCTGCCTGTCAGTGGTGGTGTTAATGATGCTTTTGCACCAGTCTCCTGTTTGCACAATCACCATCTTGATCTTGGTTTTTTCTTGAGAATTGTGTCTGAAAGTTCACAGCAAGACCTGCCTATGTGTTGGTATTTTCCAAATTACACTGTCTGAGCCATCTTGCTCTGTGTCTGGTTTTTTCCTGCATTTAAATCCAGCATATGGAACCATAGTAGCCTTGATCTGGTCACTTGTTTTAGGAGCACTTCCTTAGAAGAAACTTGTGTTAGATAGGCCTCTTCATTCTAGCTCATCTTTGAAAGCAAGTAATTTGAAGGAAAGAAAAAATTCTGAAAGCAAGAAAATCTGGACTGTGTGGAATTCTCTAAGATGCATAGTAATCCTTGACAGCTCCAGCTCTGCTTGTAGCTAGCTCTCCTTCACTGCCTGCTCTTGGTCTCCCTTCTGCTTCGTGCACAATTCACTGACAAAATGACTAACAAAAAAACCACCTACAAGAGTCTTAACTATGCTTGTATAATACCCAGTGTTGGATATCTCAATCCTCTTTTAGGTTACATTCAATTTTATCGTTGCACAACATCTCTCTGTGATGGTCCTTGTCTTTCCTTTTTCAGGCCGAAAGAATTTTTAGACAACTTCTACTTAGAAACAAATTAATAAAACTGACTTCTCCCAACTGTCAAACAAAATATTGCTAAACTGTGGATTTTTTTTTTTTTTTTCCTCCTCCAGGGTTTTATTTGTGGCTATTCAATAGCTACAGGAGCAGCTGCAAGACTGCTTTCAGGATATGACAGTTATGGAAATATTTGTGGACAGAAAAATGTCAAGGTGGAGGGAATAGTCAACAGTGGTCTGGACCTTACACACAAGAAGTAAGTATGTAATTCAGTTGCTGCATTCTGTAAACCAGGAAAGGCAAAACCTTTCTTCCTTTGAGAGTGGTTTTCAATAAAATGGGAAAAGGGATATGCTAACTCATTCCTGCTTGTCATTTGGCACTTTTCTCACCTAGAGGACAACAATCTCTTGTAACAACCAGCAACAGTACTTGGAGATGTGCAATATGAATATAGCTAAAGACATTGAGCAATTACCTTTTCTTGGTATCCACTTTATCCACTTCATGTAGGATATTGTATTAGGCCACTGAAGAGTCTAGTTTGTTAAAGTTTTAGGTGTGACAAGTATTTTCAGATTTAGGAGCTGACCTTCAATATTAATTTAGAAAGGTTTGCTTTTGATGTTGTATGCTCAGTTTCTGCTGCTAGGTGTAGGGGGAGATGAGATATATCTAACACATTAAACTGTAAGCAGAATGTGCGTAAGTGACTTGTGGAGAAAATGCACAAAACTTGTAAGCAGCTCACAGCTCTTATTAAGCAGTATCATGTTAAACCCCTTACTTACAGTTTAGGTATTTCCCATCTGTTTCCCAAAAACATCCCACTGCAGTAGTAGTACTGGAGAAGTAACAAAAATTCTGGACTTACAGGTTTAAAACATCTCTTGAGGTTTGCCTGCCAGTCAGTGCCCAGAGCACATCTGTACAACTTGGGTGACTTAAGAAAGTAAACTGTTTAGCCTGACCATTGAACAGTGGTATAAACAGACAAAAAAAAAAAAAAAAGAAAGATGTTTCTTTCACTGTTTGATTCCTTCAAAGAATTAAAAAGTTATTAATTTCTGAGTATAATAACCTTTTGCTTCCCACTTTCAGAGTAACAGAAAATCAATAATTTCCATAAATTATTTTGGAGGGATGCTTTTTTAAGATCTGCTTATTTGGAGTTGCTATACAAAAAACTTCTAAATACTTGATTTAAGATTTAATGTGGCTGGGTAATTGGTGGTTACCAGAAGGACTTGAGATAAATAAAATGGCCTGAAATATTGTACAGATTTCTTCTGTCAAAAACCCCCCACTTCTTAATTTAATCCCATCTTCCAGGAGGGTTGAAAGGCTTAAAATTCATGAAGCATAGTTTTCCTATTTTTTTACATAAACATTTTAATGGTTTCCAAATCCGTGTATATTCAATACAAAATTGTTATTCTGGCATTCTGAGATAAAATGCAAATTTTAAAATCATAATTTTAAACTTACTTTTAGAAAGAAATGGTGTCTGAGTTCGTGTGAAGGTAGAGAAATTTAGACACCTTATTGAAATGTAATAATTACTGTTGTAATAGACTGCTACATGTGACAGAAATCACACCATCATGTGGAGAAACATCTACCACTGCTTAGTGATTTCCTCTTGTGAAGGCAAGCTCAAAAGACAGCAAATAAAATGAGAGACTATTTTTAACACAGTTAATAGATAGACTGTTGTTTATTAAGAAGTCTTAATGAGGTTCAGAAGGATTATGTTTTTGTAACAAAGATGTTGTGGCTTGAGGCGTGACCTAAGCAAATTAACAGATACACTTATAAGGAATATCATCATCTCTATTTGCCTGAGAGTAAGAGAAAACCTTCTACCAAGGCAGACTGTTCACATGAAGTGCCTGGTACAGTCCAGGGTAGTGAGTTTTGGAAGAGATTGGTTCTTATATAAGCGAGTGATCCTTCATTCTCTCACACCCTATAGTTTCTTCTGAAAAATTGCCAAGCAAATTTAAACAGCTATCTGCTTTGCATCTGTCTCTAGCAGATGGAGTTTCTCCAGTGTCTGAGGTACAGTTCATGGGAGTATTTCATGCTATTTTTATAAAAGTACTTTTCAGACAGCCTGTAAAAATAAGCTTTTCTTCCTGCCTGTACATTTCAGTTTGTGTAGAGAAAGAGGACTTTTAGGATCCACAAATGCGGTTCTGGAAACATGAAGTTATTTCATTTTGCTGGCAGGGTAATTCTGTTTTCGTTTCCCAATCCAAAGGCAGAAAGCTAAATCATCTGTAAAAATAACATTTTCTTCTTTGTACGTGACAGCAACCCATAGGCACTGTCATGTGGAAATGAAATGAATGTGACCTGTGTGGATATGGAAATCTGGGTGGTAAGGGTGAAGAGGACAGTCCTCACAGGGATATGATTTGCTCTGTGTGCGTCAGATATGCTGAAACCACTGAGATGAAATCTTGGGAAGGGGGGTTCTACAATTTGGTCTCATCAACAAAGAGTGGATCAGGCATCTTTTTATTTTTACCACAGAAACAACAGTACACTTTAATAGTCTAGAGTCAGACATGGCAGTGAATTCTAATTAAATCTATCTGCTTCAAGTAAGCTCTTTGCTTTACAAATTCTGGTAGTTGTAAGGGGGTTAAAAAAAAAAGATGTTTTATTTGCAAATATATGATGACCATGGCAGACAAATGTAAGTCCCTGAAATGCTAGTTCAGTCTGATTTTTGATCACCAATACTGCTTGGACAGAACTCAGTTTTTGCTGTTTACTCCAGTATAAGGAGATGTGCATATGCTGCTATAGAGAATATAGCATTCCACCTTAAAAAATGCCCTTGACCCCAGAAAATGGGGTTTAGGTAAGGGGAAAACCCAGGGAGAGTTTGCAAGCAAGCATGCAGAGAATTTGGCTGAGTGAAACTGCATGTACCCTACAGTTAAAGACATTTTTGCCACTAGGCTCTCATCTTCATTCGACAGATTTATTGGCACAGATGAGTTATGATATTTGGTAGCTTGATCTATGTGCCTTGAAAAAGGGAACCTGAACAAAGAACAGCCTGGGTAGTTATTCCCTTTCAATCCAAACTCCCCATCCCTCACATGACAGTCCGTACCAATGGCAGTGTTCTGTAGTCCACATTGTAATATGGTTGTTACGGTTCGTATACCATGCTCTATGGGCTGTACACTCTAGCTGTTAATTTTTAGGCAATATTTAAGATGCTAGCTTTGTTTATTCTAAGTATTGTTGATGTTCAGATTATTAGCTCCAGGTTTCACCTTATTGCTCTCTACAGCTACCCAAAAGGAAGTTGTGGAAAGGGGGGGATCAATCTCTTCTCCCGTGTAGCAGTTGAGAGGAAGTTTAGATTGGACATTATGAAAAATTTCTCTGTCAAAAAGGGTTATCAAGCCCAGGGAAGTGATTGAGTCACTGTTCCTGGAGGTATTTAAAAGACGTGTTGATGTGGTGCCTAGGGACACGGTTTAGTCGTGGGCTTGGCAGTGTTGGGTTTACAGCTGGAGTAGATGGCCTGAATGGTCTTTTCCAACCTAAAAGATTCTATCGTTCTAAATCTACCCTCTTTTAGTTTAAAGCTGTTCCCCCTTGTCCTGTCACTATTTGTCTATGTGAAAAGTCACTTTCCCTCTTTTTCATAAGCCCCCTTTGAGTACTGGAACGCTGCTATAAGGCCTTCCCACAGCCTTCTCTTCTCCAGGCCGAACAGCTCCAACTCTCTTAGCCTGTCTTCATATGCTCCAGCCCTCTCATCATTTTTGTGGGCCTCCTTTGTGCTCACTGTAATGGATTCATGTCTTTCCTGTACTGGGGGGTCCCAGAGCTGGGTGCAGTGTGCTGGGTGGGGGACCCATGAGAACAGAGTAGAAGGGGAAAATTCATCCCCCTTGCCCTGCTGGTCGTGCTTCTTTTTACAAAGCCCAGGGTACAGTTGGGTTTCTGGGCTGCAGGTGTACGTTGCAGGGTCACTGGTCATTTTTGATGCACCAGTACCCCCAAGTCCTTCTCTGCAGAGCTGATACTACATAAAGATGCATAAAGACACTTAATGTTGTAAGTCTGCCATACTGATTTTCATATAGCAAACATATTTTCATTTGCAGTGTTGAAGCATCTCTAACAGTATGATTGCCTTGTTTACTTCAGTCTTTGTGTTGCTGATATAAGTTATTCTGTTATCAACAAATTAGTCTATTGTTGATTGTAAATAACTGAAATTGCAGCACAAACCATGTAAGTACATTCTTCTAGGAAGAAACAAAACCTGGTCTGTGATTACACAATATGGAATTTTCTGCAGTAAAATCACTTATTTTCTATAAATAAGCTTTATAAACAAAAATAAAATTAACCTTTTCTTCTGTAATGCTGGTGCCTGGCATTTTGATTTTTGTTTTAACTGCTAGAAATTTAAAAAAAAAAATCTTACTTCTGTCTTCCTAGACTACAGATTGAAGCCACGGATTGGATAGCTTGGAATTTTCTGTGCAACTCCCTTACTTCTGTCAGAACTGCCTCTGCCACTGCAGTGCAGTGTTTGAATTACATGTGTCTATTTAAGTGCATGCCAGCACAGCACACTTGTGTCAAAACTGCATGTGACACTGCAATTGAGTTGTATTTCTAAACTGCCAGGCTTAAGTTAAAATGGTAGTATTTTACAAAATATTCCAGCAATTAAAATTACAACTTGGCCCAGAAATTTAAATTACTGTAGAAGTGGGCTGAGTTCTGTCTTGTCAGTGGCAACATTCCTCATCTGGTTTCCGTAGGTAATATGTGTTAAGGGACATTCAAAGAAGCCTTCTGTCCAGGAACTGGAGTCCAGCCCTATATATCCTGGTGTCTGCCTAGGCTGAGAGATGGGGATGGACTGACACGTATGGGACACTCATGCAGCTGGTTACACAGACTGGTACTGACAAAGTGCTGCCTTCAACAGCGGGACTCACAAACAGAAGCACAGACAGCCACGTCCTCTCCTCCTCATGGGCTCACAGAGACAGAAGGTCACTAGTGCAGGCACACATATGACACTTTCTAGGTTCACAAGCTCACATACGTTTGTGGAGCCCTCAAGTACCAGCACAGCACCTCTACTCACCTGGCACCCCTGCCCCGTATCTGTCTCTTGAGTTCCTCCTACTCAGCAGCTGATCCAGCTTGGTGCTAACTAGCAAACACTCACACACTCGTCCCACAGGCACCCTGTGCTCACAGTTCTCTCAAATACCAGTGCAGACCCTCTGCCTACCTGACACCTCTGCCTGGACCCAGAGCCTCCTACGCACCATCTGATGAAGTTTGGAGTTTGTTGGGGAGTTACAACAGGAGTTGAACTCAATTATCCTTGTGGGTTCATTCCAACTCAGGATTTTCTGTGATTCTGTAACATGTGTACACCTGCTTTGGCTCAGCCCCTGTCAACAGCCAGCACCATGTGGGCTGTGACCACTTGTGCTCAGTCCTTCACCTCTGTAGCTGCATTTTTTTGTGGATGCACATTGTTCCCACCCCAGCAACCCATTGCCAAGACCCCTCTCTGCCCCAGTCACTGGCACTGAGACCCCACTCACTTCTGTAGCTGGCACCACAGGCCTGGGGCCTGTAAACCCCTGATCTGATTCTAGTTGCTGGCACCAAATCCTTCATGCCCATGCCAGTCTCCCCAGTAGCTGGCACTTAATCCCTGCAGGACTTGCAGCATCCATACACACGGAGCAGAGACTGGAACTATGCAGAGAGAGAGTTAAAGGATTTAGTAATAGGATATGACAGACTGCAGTGATCAGGTGCTGGGATCAGTGTACTGACCAACACCAGCTTGCATGCAACTGTCCCTTTTACACCCCTTTCTGTCTGCCACCCTGTCCCATGCACACCCCCTCAGCAGCTCGCACAGTCCCACTGACCACTCCTACTTTCTGTATCTGTGGGTTTGCATCCTTTTCAGCCACATAGTCCCTGCCTGCAGTTTCTTGGTAGCCCATCAATGATTGTGATTGACTGGGTTTGTTTCTGATTATTAATATAATAATCTGATTACTATATTCTGATTATTAATATAATATTAACACTAAGTGGTTAAGTTTTATGTCTGAGTGTCTCCCTCCTTTTCCTTATTATCTCCGTTTGTCAAGGTGCTTAGCCAGATAGTCTTATGGAAAGTTAATAATTTTCAAAATCCACATATCCTTGCCAACTTATGTGACTGACTGGGTTTATTCCCATCCTAACCTCCCTTACCACATCAATCAGGTTTTACTCTGTAAGTTCTTGTTCGTGGCTTCTTTGACCAAATAACCTCAAATGAGCAGACGCTCTTCTTCCATGTACTCTTATAGTATAGAATAGCAACTGTAGAAACTTGCCCTCATGCAGTGGAAGCTTTGACAGGAGTGTTCAGTTGAGACAACTCTTGAACATCTTGGTATTAACTCAAGAGTATTTTCTTTGAAATAAAGGAAGACTGTCACTTATTACTCACATACAGTTACTTTGATTGTGTTTACAGGACAGAATTTTCACGTTTGCATTTGCTTCTCAGACAGTGGTCTATGGATTCCTGAGATGGGTAGTGTGTATTAAATAAAAAAAACAGAAATAGCAGTGGATGATTTTCAGTGAGATGTGGACAAGCAAAGGGAATGTTTTAAGAATGCAGGTAATTACCACATTACAATTGATTTAGATTACGTGGGGTTTGATGGACTTTTCAGGAAGTAAGACTGTACTACATACTTATCATTCTTGTATACTGACACTGGGTAATAGAACAGTAGACAGCAATTAGTGTACAGACTGAAGTTGTTCAGGCAGGACCTAAATGCCTTCTAGGAATAGAAGGGATTTTACTGATCACAGAATGAATTCCCATCCCAAGGACTGCAAAAATAGAAATGGCATTTTATATGGTGGTTTGGTATCGATTTCCTATGATGATGTTAGAAAATATGTAGAGAGTATTTCAATGTATAGTGTATCACCAGAATTGTAGGAATTTGAAAGACTTGTTCTACTTCCAAAGAGAAAGGCGTTCTTCATCTGTATTATACCATCAGTGGGCAGTTCTGTAGGTTTAGGGCTTGTGATGAAATGTGTATAGCCGGGAGATGTTAGCTAAGGATCTATAATATGTGCTTCAAATGGCAATGACTCATCATGGAAAGTGAGAAAATAGAATCTCTTTAAAATACTGCACTTGAACATGAGATAGTTGTAATGAAATATCTGAACCATTTTTATTTCAAAGCAAATACTAAAGTAATCTGTTCAGTCATATGGTGTGGAAAATTGATCTAAACTAAAAAGCTGTTCTTGATTGCTGGTATTATGTGTTTTCATTAAAACAGCCATGGACTTTGTCCTTTTGCAGCATAAGGGTAACTTTATGGGGTTTATTGGATCTTTCTAGAAAAATTTGTTAAGTTTAAGGGTGGAGTGAAGGTTTGTGTATGTTTGGGCTCATATTTATGAAAAGGCATGGTAGGAGTATTGCTGTTTTTAGCAATACTGTTTTTAGCATCACTTGAATGGACTTGAATCAGGTAGAGTTAAACATCCTTTCTGTGTTATCCGGAGGTATATAAATACCCATATACTTGTGGTGCATACGTTGAGTACATAAATTCTTTTGATCCACTCAGTTATGATAATATGAAATTTACTGTGTTTCTGGATAGACTGAATCAATCAGTCTTGACTGAATCCTATAATTTGAAATTTTGTTCAGCGTAATTGTTAATTCAAATAGAAATTATTTACCTTTTTTCCTTCCCTAGGTATGTATTCTTCTTGGATCCATGCAATATCGATATAGTACATCAGAAAATCAAGTCCCTTGCCTTGTGTGTATCAGCTTGCCCAAGGAAAGAACTAAAAACTCTGGCTGATATTCAGAAATTTGCAGAAACTAATGGTATGGAAAAAATATGTTTGCTTTTGTTCATATACCAGATATTTTCACAGGATTAAAAAAAGGCTCATGCATTAGCTGAGCTAAAAATGAAATATGTATGAAGAAATACGAATAGAAATAATGTGCTCTTTTCATTAAGCTAAAACGTTACTAAATCTTACAGTATGCTAGTGTTCCGTCATGTCTTGGGCAGTATTGAAAGCTTGTTGTTAAAACAGGGATACAAAGTGTAACAAGCACTTGAAGGAATGTCTCAGCTCCTAGGGAAATGTGCTGACATTGCTGCTCAACAGTAGTGCTGTTGAAATGTCCTCATGTATATGGGGTTAGTGAGAGCAGTGCTGCTATTTAATGGCACTTGTGGCACAGAGAATGACTGTGTGTGTGTGAAAATATTCCTGCTTCTTTTCAGTGCTGCAGTGTGGTTCCTGTTGGTTTGGTTTTTTTGTTAATTTTTTTTTTAGTTTTCCCTAAGAGTAGTACTTTTTCTAAGTAGTAGTGACACTGATACTGCTAGCTCAGTTCCTGTTTTAACAGTCTTTGGAATAAAATGCATAGGAAGTAACCAACTTTTGGACGTTCAAAAGAAAGTAAAGATGAAAATTTAAATTAAGGAAATTTCAGGGGTTTTCAGCTATTTAAGTGGGAACATTTCGTCCTAAACTTACCTTATCTTTTAAAGTGCTGCAGTAAAATTTCTTTGTGAGGTGCTCGACTAAAGATGAGTCAGTCTGGATGACCCAGTTCAAAGGGGTGAAACCTCTTGATTACTTTCCATAAAGGAAACTGAAATGTCTGTTTCTGTTCTAATACAGGTTATTTGAGTACTTCTTGTTTGAAAGCAGGGCGAGTGGAAGTGTCCCTAGGGTCACTGCTAATGCCCCTGGCTCTCCCACTGCACTGTGCCCACACACCTGGGTGTCTGACACTTGAACTATCGCGCGGCGTCACAGCTTCCGTGGAGCTGCGCAAAGAGCTGTGCCCGCACAGTGTGGCTGGTGAATGAGAGCCTCCTCATGTGGTCTGTGCAGCCTTGTCAATTACAAGGGAAACTACTCAGTACCTACAGCTGTATTCTTCACTCCTTCTCTGAGCGTGCTGTGTTTCTTTTAACCAACGCAGGGCAGTTATTTGTTGGTATGAAGTTAAGGTCATTTGTACTGGAGTTCAGGTATTTCTTGAAGTAATGAAGTGCAGCCATGTCTTGTTTTATCACCAACACTGTTTCCATGTTTATAAATCAAGTCTCTTATTAGTTGTGCCTGAAATATGTGCCAGTTTAATGTAACTGTTTTTTAAAGTACAACGAAAACCACTCTTCCCAAAACATGCTATGCTATGTCTTTTCTCATCATTCTTTCTTCTAACTGTATCTCTCTTAGTGCTTTAGACTTTAAAAGATATAATTCTTTTTACTTGACATGACAGAACGGTATTTTCAGTTTCCAGAAGCTTGGTCAAAAGTATGAAACCTGATGTTAGATCAGAACAAAATCTTTAATGAGTTCAGTTCCGAATTTTCGTTATATAATGTTTGACTTATCAAAAACAGGTATTATACTAAACTGATCTTTCCTTTTATAGATGAACTCTGTGCAAGACTGGAATCACACTGTTCAGAGAAATATTGTCATCTTCATGGTTATATTTCTGCTTAAATGTTCACCAGCCTTTGCAGGTTCCAAAAAGGGATGGTTTACAGCAAATGAACAGCTTAATTGCTGACTGTCTTAACTGCTGCATATGTATAGTAGAAGTTCAAGTGTGATTCAGTCTCATAGTTGAGCAAGAACAGTGAATTAGTACCAAAACTATAGTACTTGGTAAGCAGAATATTTTTTCTAAGATATGATAGTGGATTTAAATTAATTAGCACTAGGATTATGTTTGGCAGTCTGTTTTAAGTGACCATTGACTCCAGTGTAAAAACGATAATGATGAAATTTGAGGACCTTGAACATGACTGCAAAGAGCTTAATTGCAATTTCCATGTTTGTTCTATAGTTAGAATATAGAGTTCAGCTGTCAAACTGAAGAATGAGGGCAAGCTTGTGATAATCAGTGCTGAATTTTCACAGGCTCGTGACTTCTAACGTTCAACAAGAAAACCATCGTAATGGTTTTTTAATATATGGGTAAAGAGTGCAGTCAACTCTTGGTTTTGCTCTTTTGAGCCTTTCTGAAAGCTTTAACGCTCCCTGCATCCTGAAAACAGCAATTGTGCTGAAGACAGAATCTGTGTAGGTTGTTGCATGTACTTTTGTAGAGTTGGCCATTTTCACCTGGTTCATATGCCATCCCTGAAATCACCTTACTTGTCCATGTACCTTGAAGTTCTTTCATAAATTACTGCTTAAGAGCCCTTCCACAACCCAAAGAAACCATCTGTTGTGACTCAGCCCATCAGGAGGTGGTGTGGTAAGTTAAAAATGAATGGGTTTTTTTAATCTAAACATCAAGAGATGTAACATAGTAAAACATACTACAACATCCTTGTATTGACTAATGATTTTATCAGTACCACATATGATCTTGCAGCTAACTTAGTACTTATGGTATCTTTCTTGAAGCAAGACAGACACTTGATTGGCTCTACACAAGAGGACACAACTGCCAATCCCAAGGGTTCAGAGCAGTTATGGCAGAGCTCTTATTCATTGCGCAGTACAGCTTGTATTTTTCTGTAAGCAAGATTATAAATAAGCATTTAGGGCAGGGAAAATGCTTGCTTGAGGCGTGAAGATCATTTTATGACAAAGCAGCCTTTAAGCTTTCTGAATCAGTAATGCACTTGCTCTTCTGCTATAATTTGAGAAAAGCAGCTGATTTTGTGAATAACACAGCACCATTTCAGGGCAGTAACTTCACTCTCACTCCTACCCCACTTGCTCTCTCACAGTCAGGCATTTGCTGTGCCTTCCTTCCTAAGAAGAGAAGAAGCACATCCCTTACAAAGCCAGGCCGATTTTAAAAAAACAAGGAAGTGTGTGTCTTTAATCTGTTCAGAACAATTGACATCCAGAACACTGGGAACCAGCTGAGACTTCTTACAAGAGGAGGAAAAAGGGAAAGAAAAAGAAAAGATCTTTGCCCTGTGCAAAGGTGCAAGTTGTAAAATGCAGGGGTGCTCCTGGGAGTGACACAGAAAGGTGCAGTGTTATCTAAGAAACATTCTAATGCTGTTCTCAAAGAGCTATACTAATACTTGAGTTTGTAGAGCTATGAATTGGACAAAACTGAGAATGTCATATGTTGTGAAGTGACTGCTGCTGCTCTCCCCAGGATTTTCTCACCCAGCAGAACACCTCAGGCAGGGAGTACTTGTGATTCAATGTTTTTGTCGGTCTTGGCACTTAAAAAATGTGTATTTTGAGGAGTGTGACTGAAAGCTGTTTTTCCCAGAAACCTGATTGATGCTTCAAAACTTAATGTCCGTGAAATATTGCAATGGTGTTTTCAAGGACTTGCCAAAGCATTTTGAAATATCCTTGAAGATATAATTCATCTGTGACTGTGCCAAATGAATAATGAAATTTCATTATTAAAAAGAAACACTAGAAGGTGGCCATAATTTCTGTTGTGTTTAATTCAGTGATAACTATACTGTCTGTTCAGTGTATTCCTATCTGTTATGTAAATATCTGGATGCCTACTTAGGAATCTAAAATTAAATTTCTCTTTTACAGAATGTTAGCAGGGATCTCTCTTGTCTGAGATCTGTAGCTAGACCAGGCTAGTTATGGTCTGGGTGGACTTAGAGCCAGAGATAAAGCTACATTAAATTTGCTACAGAGACTGACCTGAAAGAAACCTATAGAGGAAATCAGTCTGGTTAGGTCAGAGCAGGTAATCTCTCTGAGCTATTAGGAGGAACCACAGGGGAAACAAAACGGATTTTTCTTTTATCTGAAGTTAATGACATCTTCATGTGCAGTAGTCAAAATACATTTTTGCAGTTCCCATTGGTACTTGCCTTAGAAATAGCCATTACCTTGATTGCTGCTGGCTTCTGATATTTTTCATCTGTTCTTCCCCCCGCCTTTGTTTTCACTGAAAGTATTCTATTTAAAACTTAATCCTTTGCTCATGATTTTCCTGAAGCATGTTGTACCATGCTAGTTAGAGGCATCTTATGGTTAAAGGAATTCTGTACCCACAGGTCTTTGGGAACCTGGGTGTGTTAGTGTTGAATGTCATTTTTTTATTGACTTGAGTAAAAGTGCATTATGACCAGTTTGAGATAGTCATCCACCTCTATTCTACCTTGTTACCAGAACTGTCCATCAGGGTTGCCTTGCATTGGAAATGGATCCTCTAGTTAGAATGAACTTGTTTCCTTGATAGAAAGTGGCTGCATGTGGAGTCCTCCAGTACTGTTTTGTGTTATTCATTACATTAATAAACCATTTGGAAAGGGGAAGAAACATTGAGGTAATAAATAATCTGCTTAATTATTTAGAATTACATGGAAAAAACCCTGCTATTTATCAATTGCAGTGGAATAAGGTGTCAAATCAAAAGGAATTCCCCCAGAATGAAGGGGTGGGAAACAACCATCGTTATGCTTATAGTGTTTTAATTTAAAATGGCTATTTGTACTTGGGAAAGAGATTGTGAAGCTACTGAGGATCACAAGAGGATTAGGTGGAGGCACAGCATTGTCCAAAAGTGTAATGTTTATTAATTGTGAAGAGGGACTGTGTTTTGTGTAAACTCATGCTCTGTTGGCATCATAAAGCGTGTGTTCTGGCCCTTCCTTGACAATTTTTTTTTTAAACTTATGCACAAACACACATATTTGTATATTTCCAGTATGTATACACATACTGTATGTGTATACAAGGGTAACAAGGATTATCATAAAAAAAGACCAGTGATTCTTCTGCCTGGAAAAGAGAAAACTGTCAGGAACAATAAGGTCATTGAAAGCAGGAATAGCTTAAAAGAAGATTAAAAAATTATTATTCTATGATCTCATAACCTGACTATTGTGAAAATAG